GACTGAGCCACCCAGGCACCCCAAATAGAAGCATTTAAAACTATACATTTTCCTCTGAGCACTGCTGTAGATGCATAGTGCATGTTTTTATAACTTACTTTTTGGATAAAATTTTAAATTTTAGAACAGCTTTGGATTTACAGAAAAATTGTGAAGATAGTACAGAATTTCCCAATATATCCTGTACCCAGTTTCCTTTATTTTTTACATCTCACATTAGTATGGTATAGCTGTTCAAATTAATGAACTAAGTCCATACTTTATTCAGAGTTTTAATTTTTACCTAACATCCTTTTTCTTCCTTCCAGGATCCCATCTAAGATATCACCTTATATTTAGTCGTCGTGTCTCCTTTGGCTCCTCTTCTCTGTGACAGTTTCTCAGATTTCCCTTGTTTTTGATGACCTTGAGAGTTTTGAGGAATACCAGTCAGGTATTTTGTAGAACTTCTCTCAATTTGGATTTGTCTGATGTTTTTCTCATGATTGGACTGGAATTTTGTATTACTGGGAGGAAGACCACAGAGGTAAAGTGCCATCGTCAGCACATTACACCAAGGGTACGTACCATCCACACGACTTACAACGGCTGATACTGACCTTGATCACCTGGCTGAGGTAGCGCTTGCCAGGTTTCTGCACTGTGAAGTCACTCTCTTTCCCCACTTTCCATTCTGTGCACACTTGAGTAGGAAGTTATACTGCACCTCTTTGAGGGCAGACTGGCTACATAAATATTTGGAATTCTTCTACAGGGAGATTTCGCTCTTCTCCCCCATTTGTTTATTTCTTCAATCATTTATATCACTATGGAATATTTATTTTACACTTTGCATTATAATCCGATAATTATTTTGTCAAATTGTTCCATGGCTGACCATTGGGAGCCATTTCAATTGGATCTGGTGTCCCTTTCTCCCCATCAACGTGTTGGTTTTTACTTTATTTTTAGTTTTTTGAGTACCTCTTTATTTTTTTTTTTTTTAAAGATTTTATCTATTTATTTGAGAGAGAGGGAGAGAGAGACAGAGAGAGTGTGATTGGGGCGAGGGGGCAGGCAGAGAGAGAAGGAGAAGCAGACTCTTGCTGAGCAGGGAGCCCAACGTGGGGCTCGATTCCAGGACCCTGAGATCATGAACTGAGCTGAAGGCAGACCCTTAATGGACTGAGCCACCTAGGCCACCTGAGTAACTCTTTAATTTCTGGCATTATAAGATGCTTCAGGCTCATCTTATATATTGTCTGTCCTTGTTCTAGAATGAGGCATTTCTGCAAGGATCTCTGGTTCTTTTTATTGGGAAATAATATTAGAAACCAAGATCTAGTGGCGCCTGGGTGGCTCAGTCGTTAAGCGTCTGCCTTAGGCTCAGGTCATGAGTCCTGGGATCAAGCCCCGCATTGGGCTCCCTGCTCTGCAGGGAGCCTGCTTCTCCCTCTCTCACTCCCCCTGCTTGTGTTCCCTCTCTCACTATGTCTCTCTCTGTCAAATAAATAAATAAAAAATCTTAAAAAAAAAAAGAAATTGAGATCTAGGTATTAGTGTGTTTGTTGCTATCCCCATGCAGTTGCTTCTAGCCACGCCCCCTCCCCTGCTGACGGAGTAAGGAAATTCATGTGCATATACTAACCCTAGCACATACACACTGTAATCCTTTCCAAGGGCTGCCGTAAAAAATGCCACAAAATGTGTTGGTTAAAACAACAGAAATCTATTCTCTCATAGGTCTGGATGCTAGAAGTCTGAACTTAGGCTGTCAACAGGGCCGTGCTGCCCCTGAAGGCTTTAGGGAAGAATTCTTCTTTGTCTCTTCCATCTTCTGGTAGCTGTAGTTATCACTTGGCTTGTGGAAGCACAATTTCAATCTCTGCCTCTGTCTTCACATTGCCTTATTCTCTTGTTTCTCTGTGCCTCTACTCTTCTTATAAAAATACCAGTCCTTGGATTTAAGTCCCCTCCTAAATCCAGGATGATTTCATCATGAGATTCTTAACTAGTTATATCTGCAAAAACCCTATTTCCAAATAAGGTCACATTCCCACAATTAGGGGAGACACTCATCAACCCATTACAGACACACATAAATATAAATATTTCCCTATGCAACCATCTGTATCTATACTAAGCTAAACATGAATTCATACTGATGGCTCCAACTCTAATCCATTACCACATGGGTTGATCTAGTCTCCTTCCCTTGCTTATCTGAAAACTCCAACAACAGCAGTGAGAAACCTAAATCCCTCCATAAACCACCCATTTACTTAATTGTCCAGTTTCACTAGACATGAATAAGCAGTATCAGATTTTAACCCATCTCTCCATGGAAAAACTTTATCAGCTGGAGTAAACACTTATGCACAGTTCCCTTTGCCTTTGGTTTTACAGACTTCACTCATTTCCAAAGTTACTTATGTCAGTGCCTTTCCCACCATCCCTTCAGTCAAAATTGTTTGTCCTATTAGTGATATAGTTACGTTGTTTTGTCACAGTCTTTGTTCCATCCCGGGATCCTCTGACTTCCTAATTTATTTTTTTTTTAAGTTTATACACTTTAAGTTTCACTCTCTGCTGTGAAGTTCTATGGGTTTTGAAAATTGCATAGTGCCATGTATCCACAATTAAAGTATCACATAGAATCATTTTGCTACCCTGAAAACTCCCTTGTGCTTCACCTACTCAACACTTCCCTCTCCAGAAACCCTAGCAACAACTGATATTTTTATTATTGCTATAGGTTTGGCTTTTCTAGAATGTCACATAATTGAATCATGCAGTATGTAGCTTTTTCAGATTGCTTTCACTTAGCAGTATGCCTTTAAGACTGCTCCATGTCTTTCATGGTTTGATAGCTCTTTTCTTTTTATCACTGAATACTCATCCATTTTCTGACAGTTCCAGTTTGTTTATGCATTTACCTACTGAAGGACATCATGGTGGCTTTCATATTCTGGTATGAATAAAGCTGCTACAAACATCTGTGTGTAGATTTTGTATGGACATAAGTTTTTTTTTAATTGAAATTCAGTTAGCCAACTTATAGTACATCATTAGTTTCAGATGTAGTGTTTAACAATTTATCAGTTGCACGTAGCACCCAGTGCTCATTACATCGCATGCCCTCCTCAAGGACATAAGTTTTCAGATCACGTGAGTAAATACCTATAAGCAAGATTGCTAGATCATATGGTTAAGAGTATGTTTAGTTTTGTGAGAAATTTCCGAAGTCTTCCAAAGTGGCTCTTCCATTTTGCATTCCCACCAGCAGTGAATGAGATCCCTATTGTTCCTCAATGTTACAGCATTTGGTATTATTAGTTTTATTTGATTAATTTTAGCCATTTGAATAGGTATGCAGTGGCATCACTTCTTGTTTTCATTTGCAGTTCCCTGATGACAAATGAGGCTGAACATCTTCTTATGTGCTTAATTTCCCTATGTGTATTTTCTTTGGTGAGTTGTCTGTTCAGATCATTTGCCCATTTTTGATTCTTTTCCTTATTGCTGAGTTTTATATGTTTTTGCATATTTTGAATAAAAGTCCTTTATCTGCTAAGTGTTTTGCAAATATTTTTTTTCTTATTCCATGGCTTGTCTAATGATTTCTTAACTGTGTATTTTCTTAACTGAGTATTCTTATTCCATGTATTTCACAGAGAAATTTTTAATTTTTAATAAAAAAAAAATTTAATTTAAAATTACAGTTTTAATTTTAATAAAGTCCAATTTAGCAATTTTTTCTTTTATGGATTGTGTTTTCAGTATTATATCTAAAATCTCATCACTAAACCCAGTTACCTACATTTTCATATGTTTTATGGTTTTTCATTCTATATTTAAACTATAATTCATCTCAAGTTTATTTTTGTGAAGATTAAGGTCTTGAACTGGTTCTTTTATTTATTTATTCATTTATTTTGCACACAGATGTCCAATTGTTGCAACACCATTTGTCAAACACACTATCCAGAGTCCAATGATGATCTTAGTCTTCCAGCCTCCAGAACTGTGAGCAATAAATTTCTGTTGTCTATCAGTCACTCAGTCTGTGGTATTTTGTTCCACACCTTGAATGGATTAAGGTAATGTACATCCAAGTTTCTGACATATCATTTTCCTCCTCCCCGAAGAACTTTTTTTATTTCTTGCAGGGCAGGTCTGCTCGTGATAGATGCCCCCAGTTTTTGTTTGTCTGAGGCAGTCTTTATTTCTACTTCATTTTTAAAGTACAATTCTACTGGATATAGAATTCTAGAGTTTTCTCCCCAAACACTTTAAATACTATATTCTCTTCCTGCTCGCAAGCTTTCTGAAGAGAAGTTATTGAAATTTGTACTTTTTTTCTCTATACATAAGGTGTTTGCTTTCATCTGGAGTCTTCTTAGATTTCTCTTTGTCTTTGGTTTTCTGCAATTTGAATACAATCTGCCTGGGTGGGATTTTGTTTTGTTTTGTTTGTTTTAAGCATCCTGCTTTGTGTTCTCTGTGCTTTTTGATCTTTGCTTTGGTGTTTGTTCTTAATCTTGAAAAGTTCTCAGACATTATTACTTCAAATATTCTACTCTATTCTCACTTCTTCTGATGTTCCAATTATGCCTGTATTATATCTTTTGAAATAGTCCTACAGTTTCTGGATTTCTGTTGTGTTTTCTCCCCCTTTTGTTTTCTCTCTGCATTTTGGTTTGTGAAGTTTTTATTGACCTTTCTTCAAGTTTGCTGATTCTTGCCTTGGCCATGTCTAGTCAATAAACCCCTCAAAGGGATTTTTCATATCTGTTATAGTGTTTTTGATTTCTAACATTTCCTTTGGATTTTTCTTAGAGTTTCCATTTCTATGCTTACGTCACCCATCTGTTCTCGCATATTGTCTACTTTTTTCATTCAACCTTAACATATTAATCATAGTTATTTTAAATTCCCCGCCTGATAATCCTAACTCAATTATATCTGAGTGTGGTTCTGATATTTACTTTGTTTCTTCAGACTGTGGTTTTTTTCTTGCTGTTAGCATGCTTTGAATTTTTTGTTGAAAATGGAACATGCTGTATCAGGTAATAGGGACTGAGGTAAACAGGCGGTTAGTGTGAGGTTTTTTGCTAATCTGCTAAGAATCAGGCTGTATTTAATGTTTGCTGTAGCTGTAGGTGCCAGAGGCTTCAAATTCTTGGAATGTCCTTGTTTCTGTTTCCCTTTTGTCTTTGGGCTTCCTTAAGTACTGCTCCTCAGACAGCGTCTGGACCTTGAGACTCTTTCATCTGTGACGCACTGTTATACTGGAATGCTGTTGGTGCCATGGTAAGGTGTTGGGGGAGCATTCTATACTCTTATGGTTAAGATTCTGTCTTTCAGTGGGCCCATGTCCTTGAGCTGTGATCCGCACTGGTTTGTCTTAGCTTTTTTCCTACTCCCTTGGTGAGACAGGAAGGATAGAGAACAGATGCTAGAGTTTAACAAGTGTCCTTTCTCCAAGTGGGATAAATTTTGGTAAGATCTTTTCACCTGGGGCATCACCTTTGTTATGGATGCCACTCTGGACGTATTTAACAATGATTATTGCTCCTCTTTTCCAAACAGAGCCACCTGACTATGAGAAGCTGGAGGGATTCATGGAGGTAAAATCCACAAAAATGTGGGGGCCTAAGACTAGAGCCCTAGGAATTGGAATTTATGCTAGTCTACACTCAGCCTCCAGCAATTTGTCAAAATTACCATTTAAGTGTTCCTGCCAGTTAACAGTTCCAGTGGCTTCTGCTCAAGGTAAGTAGATCTCAACTGTGATTCTCTGAATTCTCCTGTCACTCTAAATTTTGGCAATTTGCCCTGCAACCTCAGTTCTCTGATGGGTCCAAGAAAGTCATTCATTTGTAGTTTTTCCAGTTCTTTCTTGTTATAAGGAAGGGAATGGTGACTTACAAGCTCTTTGTATGTCAGAACTGGGCATCCTCTGTTACACTTAGATTAATATCAATACTGCACTGTGAGGAAGTGTTTTCATTATTATTCATTTAAAATATCTCCAATAATCCTTGCAATTTTTTATTTCATCTATTTTTTTAAATATGTGCTGTTTGATTTTCAAGTATTTGTGCATTTCCAGTTATACATGTTATTGATTTTTTATTATCCCCCTCATTTCTCTTTTAGCCTATCCAACCCTTTATTTCTAAAATCTGTTTCTTTTGGACAATATCTATTTAACATTTGCATTTTTTATGCATTCCAACCATCTTTGCCCTTTAATTTGTATGTTTAGAACTTTTTCATTTAATGTATTTATCAATATATATTAAAGTTGAGTTTAAGTGTAAAGTTGTTTAAGTCTGCCATCTTCCTTTCTTCTTCTGTTTGTTCCATATGCACTTTGTTCATTGTTTCCCTTGTTATGCTTTCTTTTGAGCTGAGTATTTTTTTATGTTTCTTTTATTGGTCTATTAGCCATACAGCTTGGTTTTATGTTTTAGTGTTTACTCTATAGTTTGCAATATGCATCTTTAACTTATCTCATTTTCTTTTCTTTTCTTTTCTTTCTTTTTCTTTAAGATTTTCTTTTTAAGAGAGAGAGAGAGTGAGCTCTTGTGAGTGGGGTGGAGGGGCAGAGGAAGAGGAAGAAAGACTCTTAAGCAGTCTCCATGCTCAGTGCAGAGCCCGGAGCAAGGCTCAATCTCACAACCCTGAGATCATGACCTGAGCCAAAAATCAAGAGTCTGTCACTTAACCAACTGAGCTACCTAGGTGCCTCTAAAGATTTTATTTTTAAGTAATCTCTACACCCAACATGGGGTTCAAATTTACAACCCTGAGATGAAGAGTTACATGTTCTATCAACTGAGCCAACCAGGCACCCCTATCTCATTTTATTTTCAAATAATACTATACCATTCCATGTATAATGCAAGGACTTCAAAAAAGTATGCCTCTAAAAGAACCCTTACAATTCAATAATAAAAAGACAAATAATTCAACTAAAAAGTGGGCAAATGATCTAAGTGTTCCTTAAAGAAAATTTACAAATGACCAATAAGTACATTAAAAGATGTTCAACACCATTAGTCATCAGAGAAATTCAAGTCAAAACTACAATGAGACACCACTTCACACCTACCAGGAAGGCTAAAATTAAGAAGACAGACAATAACAAGATTTCATGAGGATATGGAGTCATTGGAACTCTCATACGTTCTTGGCAGGAAAGTAAAATGGTGCAATTGCTTTGGAAAGTAGTTTGGCAGTTCCCCAAAAGAACAAACATAGAATTAGCACATGTTGTATCAATTCTTATATAGCTAAAAGAATTGAAAACATATGTTTGCATACAAAATTACACAAAATGTTCATAGCAGTATTATTAGTGAAAAAGCTAAAGCAAGCCAAATTCCCATCAACTGATGAAGGGATAATTGAAATGTGGTATATCCAAACAAGGAAATATTATTTGGCAATAAAAATAAATGAAGTACTGATACATACTACATAATGAATAAATCTTAAAAACATTGTGCTAAGTAAAAGAAGCTACTCAAAACAGGCAATATACTATATGATTTCACTCCTATGAAAGTCCACAATAAGGAAATCTATGGGGACAGAAAGTAGATTAGTGGTTGCTTAGGGCTGGGTTAGGGGAGGAGGATAACTAAAGGGTATGTGGTTTCTTTTTAAGATAATAAAAATTTTTAAAAATTGATTGTGGTAGAGTTTACATAACTCTATGCATATACTAAGAAGCATTGAATTGTATATTTTAAATGGGTGAAATTGTATGTTATGTAAATTATATCTCAATAAAGCTGTTACCAAAAATAATATACTCCCATATTACACTTTCCTGTTCTTTGCGTTATTTTTGTCATATATTTTACCTCTTTATATGTTATAAATAGCACAGTGTTGTTATTTTATAATTTTAAACAATTATCTTTGAAAAATATATAGTCAGGAAATGTCTTTCATATTTACCCACATATTTACAATTTCTGGAAAATTGCATTCTTTTGTTTAAATATGAATTTCTACCTGGAATTACCTTTAATATTTTTTGTAGTGTAATTCTTCTGATGAGGAATTAGCTTTTGTTAGTCTATAATTTTTACCTTCATTTTTAAAGTATATTTTCATTGAACAAAGATTTCTAGATTGACCAGTTTTGTTTGTTTATTTATTTTGTTTCTGGTTTTGTTTGCCTTATTAAATATCATTCTGGCTTGCATTGATTCTCATAAGAAATCTGTTGATATTCTTATCTTTACTCCCTTCTAATTTCTTTGGTTATTTTAAAGAATTTTCTCTTAAACACTTTCCAGCATCTTTAATCATATATGTTGGTATGGCTTTCTTTGTATTTGTTCTCTTTGGGATTTCTTGAGAAACTTTGATCTGCTGGGTTTTCTTTTTCATAAAATGTAGAGGTTATTTAGTCATTATTTCTTTAAACATTTTTTTTTGCTTCTCCCATCTCTTTTGGAAATCCAAGCACACATATATAGGCCACTTGATATCTTTTCAAAGACACTGAAGTTCTAATAACATTTTTTTCCATGTTTTTTTCTAAATGCTTCAGTTTTGATAGTCTTTATTGCTATGTCTTTAAATGTACTTATCTTTTATTCTTTAGTGCCTAATCTGGTTCAATTCCAGTGAATTCTAAATTTCAAATATTGTATTTTTGATATTAGAATTTCCATTGGGATCATTTATAGTCTCCATTTTATTCCTCATTATGTTCATGTTTTCCTTTAAATCCTTAAACATATTTCTAATAGTTGTCTTCAAGCAATTGTCTCCTGATTTCAACCTCTCTATCATTTCTAGGTATACTTCTGTTGATTTGTAACATTCAGTGAATTAATTTTTCTCATTATCATGGGTCACATTTTCTTTCTTCTTTGTCTAGTAATTTTGATCAAGTGCTAGACATTGGATTTATTGTATTATTTAATGCCTGTATTTGTTTTCTTTTAATGAATGCTGAGTTTTGTTTTAACAGGCAGTTAATTTTACTTATAGATCATTTTGCTCCTTTCAAGACTTTCTTATTTTATCTATATCATATCTGTATCTATGTCTATGTCTGTATCTGTATCTATATGTATTTATCTCTCTATATTTTATGGCATGTCTAAAGCAGGCTTTATACTAGGGCTAATGTAATCCTACCTGTAAGTAATTGCCTTCTGACATCTTTACTGAATCTTCTAGGTGTTCAATGAAGCCTCTTTTATTCTGGTTGATTATAACTCAAACGTGTCTTGATTCTTTGCAACGTTCAGTAATTGTTCAGATTTAGTTTTGCAGGTAGTTGTTCTTTTTTTTTTTTTAAAGATTTTATTTATTTATTTGAGAGAGAGAGAATGAGAGACAGAGAGCAGGAGAGGGAGGAGGCTCAGAGGGAGAAGCAGACTCCCTGCTGAGCAGGGAGCCCGATGTGGGACTCGATCCCAGGACTCCAGGATCATGACCTGAGCCGAAGGCAGTCGCTTAACCAACTGAGCCACCCAGGCGCCCGCAGGTAGTTGTTCTTTACCTTGCCTTATAAATACTCACATCACATGCACACAATTTAGAATCAGCCAAAGACTCCTTGGTTCCCCTATGTTGATTTCTTTGTAATTTCTTGGTACTCTTCCTCATAAATGCAAGCTACCTAAGTCCCTCTGAATTCCAGTCTTGATCTCCTCAGCTCAGCATTCTGTTGTTCTGCTTAGGTTTCCTCGGTGAGGGTCTGATAAATGCCTTAGCGAAAAATGCCAGGATGAGTATATGGCTCATCTCAAGTGTTTTTCTTTTAGAATTCACAGTCCAACACTACCCATTTTACTTTGTCTGAAAATAGTTATTTCACTTACTTTGTCCAGTTTTCTAGTATTTTATGGTGATAGGACCAACTTCATTTATGGACTGAAAGAGAAGCTCTCTCATCCTTTCTAATTCCTTTCCATTTGGAGCAAAATTGTTGTTAAGGATGTGAGGATGGGATTTTGTCAAAAATAAATATAGGGTACATTAAAAATAACATCAATAGTAACAAAACTTGCTGTCCATTTGAACATAATGCTACTGGCTGGGATTTTTCTCTATCACATTTCTGCCAGTCAGAATCTATTTACTTTCTTCTTGTATCCTTTGCAAATTAAAGAGTCAGTTGTTACAGAATTTGTATAGTATCACAATATTTCTCTAGTTTCTAAGATAATAAGAATAACCTGTGGCACTTGTTTAAAAATATGGCTTGCTTTCCAGACTTCTCTCCTAGACATTCTGATTTCTAGGGTATTAGGTAAAGCCTTGAAATTTGAATCTTCAAAGATACCTTAGATAAATATTTTTTCATCAGGCAAAATTGGGAAACTAGTATATTAGTTTGGAACACAGATGCTGAGGCCAGAATGCATGGATTTGAATACTGATGCAGTCTGTAGGAGCCCTGTTACTTTGGGTAGGTTTTATCCCCTATTTTCCTCAGGGTCATTGCAGATAGATGATTATATGTTTTGTGCCTTACATAAAGGTATCCTGTTTGTGAAGCCATAGAAAAATGGTGTATTATAATTGGTCTGCCCAGAGAAGTCTTTCTCATTTTCACAGAATCACCATATAAGATTAGCAGTGGCTCTGCTTTCCTTATCTTTGAAATAAGAAAAATAACATCATGGCTGGCTACATAATTCGTGAGGCCCCTGTGCAAAATGAAAAAGCAAGACCCCTTTTTGAAACAACAACAACAACAACAACAATAACAATATGCAGGAATAAAAGCTCTTTTTTTCCTTCCATTGTCTATCAACCCATCATGTCTTTTTTTTTTTTTATTAGACATTTAACGTTGCCATCCTTAGGACAACAGGGATTCTTGTGGGGCAAAACACAAATCGCCACAGGTGCCTGCTGCCCTGCCCCATGACTTGACATGCAGGGTTCAGATGCCTGACTCCAACCCTCCCGTTTCTCAGGATGCCACCCAGGTGCAGAGGATGACAACATTCCTTGGGTAGGGGTGGGAACAGGTGACTGAGAACCCATCCTGGAGAGGTGTGGGAGCAGAAGGAGGTGTGACCATGCATGAGCTAAGGCTCCAAACAACCACCAGTCCATGCTCCATTGTCTTGTCAGACTTAAGTTAGGAGATAAATTTCAAGGTGTTCCCACAGAGCATTACAAACATGGGGCCCCCTATTGAGCATGGTGTCCTGTGCAACTGCACTGGTCACACACTCACAGAGCTGACACTAAATAATAACATTTATGTTTGGTGCCTGAAATGTAGTAAGTACTCAAAAATGTCAGTTACAATTATTATTTTTACAAAGCATTCAACCTGAAAGCTCAGTTCTGCCCAGTCCTTGGTAATAAGCACAGACTCACAAACAGTGAGACTGGAACTAATTTAGTAGCCCTGACCCTGTCCACAGTTCTGTGGAGTATTGATTTTGTGAGAGGCACTACCCTGGGCACTGAACAAGTCACCCAATCTTTGGGCACAGCCTAATTAGAAAAAGAGGCAATTACAAATACAAATAACAAAGGACAAGTTAGAATACAGAGGGAGTTATGGAAGCTTTATCTCAGGCCTAGGGTGGGAAGTGGTGTTTAAGCTGAGTCCTAAAGGATAAGTAGAATCTAAGTAAGTAAACACAGGGGGTGGGGAATATGTTCTGGGCTTTGTGGATAGCTGGTACAAAACCCCTGAAACAAAGAAGAGAGAAAAGCCAACAGTTTCACCAGGACTGATGAACTGATTATAGGAGAAGGGAGAGGCAAGCAAGATGCAGAACTTAAAGGGTTTTATTGGTCAATTTCTGGAGTCTGTGCTTTATCCCAAGGACAACAGGGGATGGGGAGTGGAGAGTGGAAAAGGAATATTTAAAAAAAATATTTAGATAAAAAGGTGTTATGATATTTATATTTCAGAAAGATTTACCTGGGAACTTCTGGGTAAAATGGAATTGTGATTATGGATATCTAATTCTGCCTCCCAGAATCCTGTGAAAATGACCAATCCAATTTTTTCAAAAAAATAGGAAAAACACATAGCTGTGCCAGGTACTAGAAAGGGTGTTGCCTACGATCCAGCATGCACGTTCAACAAAACTTGAGTAAATAATGACATTGGATCTAATGAAACATATATCACATCTCCTAATGTATACAGAATCATGTACTCTCTAAATAGAAATACATCTTCTTTTGAAACATCCATGCTATGTTTATGAAAATTAATCCTACTCCTGGCTATAGAGAAATCTTCAATAAATTTCAAAGACTAGAAATTTTACAGGCCCCACTGTCTGATCATGATGCAAAAATAAAAATTCTAATAAAAGTATATACATAAACAATCAGTCACTTGGACATTAAAAGAAAAAAGAAAAACAACTTTTGTTTAGAATTAAGTAAAAAGCAAATAGAACCTACAATTACAGACTATTTAGAAAGTAACCAATAAGTATGGATGCACTTGAAAAATCAATAAAAGAGTTATCTCCCCAAAGTATTTTATGAGAAAATATCCAAGGAGGAAATACTTCTTACACTATTTAAGCCCATTTCAGGAGCACAGGAAAAGAGGGAAATCTTCTCAGTTGACCAGCTGTCATAACGTTGAACCCAACATGACAGTCAATACTTTAGATATAAAAGCCATAGGTCAATCTTATTTTGGAGTATAAGTGCAAAAATCCTTCAAATATGAGCAAATTGTATCCAACAGAATGCTGAAGGATGATTATGGATGGCTAAGAAAGGATTATTTTAGAGATGCAAAGATACATTGGCATTAATCTATTTTAAATATTTTAGGATGCCCTAAAAGATTTTATAATTTAATTTTCATTCCTGATTAATTACAAACACAATTCTTACTACACTTGATGTATGAAGTACTTTAACATGATGAATGACAGGTATACTAAATAAAAAGCCATAATTATATTTAAATAATAAAACATTATGGACTATCTGGTATAAGTCTAGGACAATGAAACATACTGGCTCCCAGCATTATCATTTAATAGTATTCTGAGAGTCCCAGAAATAGGACAAGAAAATATGAAGCTAAAATATTGGAAAGAGAAGAAAAATGATGTAATAAATAGATTATATTCTTCATAACCTGGAAAATCTGCAAGAAGGATTTGGAAATCTGTTAGCATTAGCGTGTTTAATAAGATTACTAGTTATTAAATAAATATACAATCATTCATACATTTACTCTACACTAACAACATATTAGAAAATATCTTAATAAAAATCCCATTCATATAGCATCAGGAGTATGTATATTCAATTTCTGGGGAATAACCAAACAGAAAATTTACATGAAGAAAAGTTCATAGCTACTGAAAGATATGAAAGATGACTTTAATTAGTAAGGATACATGACATGTTCCTCAACTGATAGAAAGAATATTAATTTATAACCTTAATGTAATTACAATAAAAATTTCAATAGAAATTTGGGGAACATTAAGGAGTGATACTAAAACATTAAAGCAAGGGAAAAACTATAAGGGAAAAGGTTAACAGATATCATCACATTAAATTTAGAAATTTTCTAAAATGTAATATATAAAATTAAAAGGAAGGTTATAATTCTTGGAAAATATTTGAGATGTGCGTAATATCCATAGCAACTTTTATACACAAAGAAATCAATAGTAAATAAACATCAAAAGCAAAATATGTAAGTGCCATGAAGTAGTCATTAAAGAAAGCATATTCAAATAACTAATAAACTTGTGAAATTATGTTTAAATTAACTTGTCACCAAGAAAATGGAAATTGAAATAATTTTATTTTATTTTACCTATGAAACTGGCAAAATAAAAAGTACTTAACATGCAAAAGTTTTATGTTATTTCATGGAGAAGAGTAGTATCAAAATATGTGTAATATATGAATTCAATTTTGTTTTAAAGTGTGCAACATACATATATATGCACATGTACATAAACTGTGAAATGTTAACAGTGATTACCTCTAGAAAGTAGAATTATGGGCCATTTTAGTTTTCATCTCAAGGTTTTCTGTGGTTTTAAGATTTTCTGCAATCAATATATATGACTTATGTAATCAAAAAAAATATTTTAAAGATCAGCATGGCCACAATGTGGTGAATGAATTTTAAAAATATAAACCAAAAGCAGAAAGTAGACAAAGGTGCTGCAATGGTAAAGACTAGAGAGACAAAACAGAGGTAAAATCACTAGGGACCAAAAGGAAACCATTTATTTCAGAAATACTAAGGTCACTAATGGTAGGTGGCAAGGGAAGAGGAGGAAAAGGAAGATAAGGAGCCAAGCAGAGGTTCCCAGCTTTATTTGGGCCACTGGGTGGAATGGTGGTGTTGCTCGCTGAGATATAATCAGAGGGACCAGGCTTGGGTTGTTGGTGGGATGCAGAAGCTAATATGTTGAGTTTGAAGTACCTGTTAGCCCCCTATCAGGAAAGAGTTTGCAAGTCAGAAGGAAGGTCTGGGTGAGACCTCTTTCTCTCTTCTCCCCCTCCCCCCACTCTGAGAAGACATCATCATATAGATGACTCTGGAGCCAAGATGGGATTACTCACGGAGATTTTACAGAGGAGAAGATTGATCCCAGAACTTGGAAGAACATTTACATTTAAGCGATGTCACTAAAGGTAGGCTGAAGAGGAGGAGACTATAAACAAGTCTGAGAGGTAAGAAGAAAGCCGAGAAAGGAGTCATGGAATCCAAAGGAAGAGAAACATCCAAGGTTTAATAGGGGGTGAGAGCAGTAAAGTCTCTTCTGAAAGATACTATCCTTGGCTGCTGAAGAAAGGGCCAGGTTGGGGCGGTGCATCTCAGGAAAGAGGGCAGGGTTGGTTATGTCAAATGTTGCTAAGAACACAGGAAAATGAAGGTGGTTGGGATTTGGGCAGGAGCTAGTTAGATGGAGTGTGAAGGGAAGCCTGACCAGGGTAGCTGGGGGGAGTGAGACAAAGGTGAAGAGGTACAGACAAGGAGTGAGATACCTCTTTTGAGAATCCTGGCTGTGAAGAGGGTGGAGGGAGAGAAGGTAGAAGCTACAGGGACGAAGGAGCTATTTTCATTCTTAAGCTACATCTAACTTGACCTTGTTTAATGGGGACGAGAGAAAGGGCCTATGGGGAGAGTTGTTGGGGGTGACAGTGAGGAGCACAGAGGTGAACTTCCTTAGGGAAAGAGCAGAAGTGGGGAAGATCTATGCCCAGGTGGGATTGCTTTATGTCAGGCATGATTGATTTCTTTATGTCAGGCGTGTGTGGGGGTGGAGGGTAGGGGGTGGCTGGGCTGCGGTCTTAGCTGGGGAAGGGAGAGGACAGGGAGAGCAGTTGCTCCAAGAGCACATTCTCCATACATGGTTGGTGCCTTTTACCAGGTAAAGCGTTTTTGAGAGAAGCATCATGAAAGCCAGAGAAGCATCATGAAAGCATCATGAAAGCCAGAGAAGCATCATGAAAGCATCATGAAAGCAGAGAAGCATCATGAAAGCATCATGAAAGCCAGAAAACCATCATGGCTGCCAGACCACGAGACTCTTAGAGAAGACAGAGAGTGGCGACGTTTGCTGTGCTCACCCTCCTACCCACCAGCGGTGCCCATCCTGAGCATGTGTCTGTATCTCTCCCCACAACCAGCTGCCCATCTTCAACAACTGGCTGTGGCACCTTTTAGGATTTTCCCTGTCCTACTCCATGTTAGATCATGACTATTTTGACTTCTATTTTCATTGTGAAGTAGGAGCTGAACTAGTTGCCTGAGACAGATGGAAGATGGGGCGTACTATGGAATTTGAGGTTTAAAATACCAAATCCCAATTTTACTCTCTGAGAGAAGAGCCTCCACGGCAAAGGCTCTAAGAGAGAGAACTGCTGGCTTGTTGGAGGAGTTGCAGGGAGGTCAGGGTGGCCAGAAGGGGGTAAGGGGGGGCACAAGGTGGGCTCACAGAGGGAGCTTGGGGTTAGATCCTGTGGAAGGGGGTTACAGTGCTCTAGGGGAGGCCTGTCTAGGGCAGTGAAGGGAGGCAGTAAGGAGAAGTCAGATACAGGCTCTATCTCATCTCAAATAATTTGTAGATGGACCCATGTGAGGTCTGAGATGAGGCCGGGATGGTGCCGAGGACTCCAGCATGAGTAGCTAATTGGATGATGGTACCATTACTGAGCCAGGAAAAGGTTAACAAAGTAGATGAATCTCTAACAAGAGTGATCAAGAAAAATAGAGAAGATGCAAACACACACGATATAAGCAAGAGATACAAGTAAAATCAGTTTTTTTAATGTTAGAAGAAAATTTTAAGCAACCGTAAGTCAATATATTACAAACTAAGGTAAGATGAAAAATGTTTGGAAAAGAATATAAAATTGGTAAAATATAAATTAAAATATGACAAAATAGGTACTTCAAAATTGAAATAATTTCCATTATTTCCTCACATATATATGTATATACATATGTATATGTATATGCATGTATATACATATGCATATACATATATGTACATATATGCAACACGCAACATGTATATGTATATACATGTATATGCATATACACATGCACACACATGTATATGCGCATATGTATATACATATATGTATATGCATGTATATGCATATTTATATATAAAATAAATATGTAATTAAATATATTTCTAGGCCTAGATTACTTTCTTTATGAATTTTACTACTTCTAAAAGACAAATAATTTTATCTAACTTTTCAAAAAATAGACAATGAAAGAAAACTGCCCAATTTATTTATAAGGGTGGAGGGAGGTCAGTTTGTATTTTCTTCTCATCTCATCATCTTAAGTTTTTTTTTTTATTCTTATGTTAATCCCCATACATTACATCATTAGTTTTAGATGTAGTGTGCCATGATTCATTGTTTGTGCATAACATCCAGTGCTCCATGCAGAATGTGCCCTCCTCAATACCCACCACCAGGCTAACCCATCCTCCCACCCCCCTCCCCTCTAGAACCCTCAGTTTGTTTTT